TCTTTCTTCTTTCCCGTCTCCCTCTCTCCAAACTCAAATCTAAAGTCGGTCCCCACCGTGTCACGGTTCTATATTAGTCTAGCAGGAGTTTGATTTAATTTGTGAATGGAACTCAAAACTCAGAACCAAAGCCAATGATATATATGGATAGTTACATATATTGGAACCTTATGATCGAGTGAGCTTGTCTTGACGTCTAAAGGAATTTATATTATAGGCTTACAGAAGCTTGATATGATGGGCATTTCAGTTTGTTACATTTCATTCCGATTGCAGTAGTTAATGTTAATAAGACCATAAGGAGGGATACCAATAAAAATGGTGGATACAGTATATCAACCGAAGAAAGGTACAGGAGCTCCAAGCCTCCAATATATGTATATATGTCAAGCTTACTTATCCTTTTTTGTTAGATTATTTAATTAACACTAAATAGTCCCACAACAGTTTAAGAAAGCAAATAACCTGTACTGTTCACTCTAGTATATATTTCCAATGAGTTTTTGCATTTCAAACATGCAGCCATGCATGTAGTGAGCACAAAGTGAACTATTCTTTCGCCTTTTACTAAAGAATACCGTGTGCTTGCTGCACATAATGGCATACACATATTTTTAGAGGGTTTCAATTCCCACTATAGTATAGTGAGAGACCCCGAAATAATCATAAAAAATGTTCTTTATTTTTTCCTCATAAAAGTTCTTTTAATTCATTCTGAACACCTTGTTAGTTGCTAAGTGAGTTTATTTTGAAGTAATGGTTTGGAATCTGGAAAAGGTGCTTGAGAATTAGGATAGTTCCCAATTCATGGGACTGTTATGAATCATATTGATCCAAACATCACTTCCACTAAATAGATAACTAATGTAGATTTTTATTTGTAAACTATTTGTCCAATAATTTTTGTGATAGTAGGAAAAGGTTCCATGAGCAAAATTTGGCTTCGAAATGCATGATCCATATTGATCATGGAGTCCCTACAAAAATTTCATAGCTCTATCTTGAAGATGAGTTCCGCCTACAATTTTTCCATTGCCACAAGAACATGGTTGAATAGTGACGAGTGAATTAAGCTCTTTCCATAGAGATTTGAGTTTAGTAAAATAGGCAGAAACTGTTATATCTTCTTGTTTAAGCGAAGATATCAACGGTTTCAATTGATAAATCGGAGGAACATTTGATTGAGAAAACCGTTCTTTAAGATCAAGCCATATCTCATGAGCGGTTTCGGCATACAATATAATGCCATGAATCTCATTTGAAATAGAGTTTAAAATCCAAGATGCAACCAAATCATTGTATCATTGCCATTATGGAAGATCGTTTCATGAGCGGTCTCCTGCCAAAGGAGGAGAAACCAACACCACAGTACAGTTGGGCTGTCCGAATGGTGGACATAATAAGGATCAGAAGTTGATCCATCAGAATTAGATTCTTGATATGGTTTCTCACCTTGTTGTTTAGTGGATTTCTCAACCATAGTGATAATGAACTTTGAACAAGATGAATTTAATGAGGGGTGAAAGAGAAAGACAACAAAAGATCGTATTACTGCTCTGGTACCATGTGAAATTAATAAGAAAACAATGTTTTGGGTGTTCCTCAATTAGGAAAGCATCAATCTTCTTCCACTATATATAACAATAACTTAAATCAATAATCAAGGGGATCTCATCCCTTATATTAGGAGAGTGATTTACAATGATTTGGTTGTAAATATAGCTACATAATATAATACAAAGAAGAAAGTTTGCAATATATCTTTGGTATGACAAGATCTGCCCATATTGACAAGATATCTCCAGAATAATTTGACAAAACCCATACTTGATCTTTCTTCTCCACCTTTAGAAGCTTCAGGTTTCTCTGATGTCGTACTTGGTTCTGAATCAGCTACAGATCCCATCTTTTACAATTAGATGATCGAAATTCGAAACCACAAGTTTGTAAAATCAAGAAATGGGTATGATTTATGAAGAGAGTGAGTGAGTGAGAAAACGTTGTGCTGCCAATTTGAGATTCTTTTAAAAGCGGCGGTTCACAAATTGGAATCTCTTCGTTACATACAATGGTGGTGGTTCTGGTAATGGTGAGTCACCCTCATCATCTACCACGTCAGCAAAATGATGATGTTGTTGGTTAATGTGAGTGATGACTGATGCTGGCATTTGGAATCCATGCGAGGGAAGACAGAGAAGTAGTCATCGTCATCTTCCTCTTCCATCTGCATGCAGGAGAGAAAGTACAGATAAGGTATCATGCAGATGCCCCAGGCGTGAAGCAGGCCCTAGCTAGCCATCTAAGAGCATCTTAGATGCTTCCATATTTTATGGATGCCACGTAGGATAGATTTTTTTGAAAATTTAACCAAAAAAACTAAAGTTAAAAGACAACAAAAAACGCATCTTCAATGCTTCCAGTAGATTTCCAGATATTTGCGAAATTGTCAATCCCGCACGGAACTCTAACTGCCGCAAAGATCTCTAAAAGGTACAGCTAGTGTGACGTAGTATTTTTCTACCTAAATTAATCAATCTTGACCGTTGATCTAAGCTTTTTGTATTTCTCTCTCTAACTATTTTGGACTGCGCGGCACTGTCAATCCCGTAGTTCCGTGTTATGGTCAAATCTTTCCCTAGCGAATTCCACAAGTTTATGGAAATGTTAAAGTATGGTTGAAGATGGGAACACCTATTCCATAATTTTTATGGGATTGAAGATGCTCTAACTCAAAGCAGAAATATAAAAAGGCTGTTAGTTTTTGTACTTTCAAACCAATCCTCTATGTCTACTACCTATACCATACAACTTGGATCTATTTTGTACATATCTCGAGGTGGTCTATCAATGTTTAGGAAGTCAACACGTATTTCTGATGGTTCAGCTATCTTTGAGTAGGTTCGACCATTTCCAATTCTGGGCTTGGATTCTCTCATTTGGGGTTGGACTTATATTGGCCTTAGCAATAATGAGTAGATTTTGACTTAAAAATGATGAGTGGGTTTGGACAGATGATTAAGATGAATTTAGTTCAAACAATTAGTAGATTTGGACTAATGGTCAACACTAGACGGAAGTCAAAATCTAAAAAATCAATTAATACACACTAAAAACTAAATACCACGTTCACATTAATATTAATAGAAGGATCAAAACCTAAATCACCCTTTAGTTTGTATAAATAAATGAAGATGCGTATTAAGAAAATAAGAAGTGTGCTTTTAGCT